TTATAGGTTCAGATGTCTACCATACGTTTATCAAAGGAAAGGATGAAAAACAGGGAATGAACCTGTTACTGTCTGCAGGAGGCTATTTGCTAACAGGCCCAGTATTGAAGTTGAAGCAACCTATAACTGTAGACCACCAACAAGCCAACCTAGTGATGGTTGCATGACTAGGCGAATAGTCACCACTACAACTCAGAGACATGTTCGAGAATGAGCTTGATCCCCCTGTACATAAATTATGGGATTTAGCAACTCTTGGCATTTGTCCCTGAACATCCTAGTCCAGATGATGACTGGACTTACAAACAATACATGGACTCAGTTGTCTACAGAGATAATCAATACTGGTTCAGGTTACCATGGAAACTGAATCATCCTCAGCTACCCGTAATCCATTTCATGGCACAAAACCTCTTGAGGTCACAGGTGATGCACTTACAAAGACATCCTGAGAACTTGAAATTGTACCATGATATAATACAGCAACAACTCGATAACAAATTTATCGAGGTTGTAACAAATGATGACCCAAAGGAAGGACACTACCTGCCACACCACCCAGTACTGAAAAATTCAGCTACTACCCCAATAAGGATAGTATTTAACTGCAGTGCTAAGACTAAGCAGAATAGTGTTTCATTGAATGACTGCCTTCAAACTGGCCCTAGCCTGACACAAAGGCTATACGACGTGCTGTTAAAGTTCCACATCGGGACTTATGCATACATGGCCGACATCAGTAAGGCCTTCCTTAGGGTAGGTCTCCAAGAAGAAGACCGTAACTACACAAAGTTCCTATGGATCAAGGATCCTAACGATCCAAACAGTGAATTAATCACTTACAGGTTTGCGTCAGTTTTGTTTGGTGCGACTTCTTTTCCGTTTCTGCTTCAAGCTACCTTAGACACGCACTTGAAGAAGTCTAATAGCCCAAATAAAACTGAAATTAGCAACAACCTGTATGTGGACAATTTCCAAGGAACAACCAGCAGTGAAAGTAAACTGCTGAACATATATCACGAGGCCAATCGAGAATTATTGGGAGCAAATATGCCTCTCCAGTCGTGGGTCTCCAACAATGCCAAATTAAATCAACTGATCGAAACAGAATTTCCCAACTACAAGGTACCCCAGAAGACAAAGGTACTAGGCGTCGAATGGGATACGACTGCAGATCAGTTGACAATCAAGTCGGTGGAACCAGATACCACCAACCTAACAATGAGAAAACTACTATCCCAAGTCAGCAAACCCTTCGACCCATTGGGACTATTAAGTCCAATCTTGATAAATGGGAAGTTGATAATGCAGGAATGCTGGCAACAGAAGATAGGCTGGGATGATCTTCTAACACCTAGTTGCCTTACAAGAAAAATGGCAGGGGCTAGTGAAGGATCTAAGTATCCTAGAGTCTGTAAAGTTCCCTCGGAACACAGTAAATGAAAAACAGCCAATTAAGCTACATTTGTTATGTGATGCCTCAGGAAAGACCAATGGTACAGTAGCTTACCTGGCATCAAATGGGCAAGCCAATTTGCTCACACGAAAAGCTAGAGTGGCACCGTTAAAGAAATGATCATTACCACAACTGGAGTTAACAACTCTACTGTTAGGAGTAAGATTGGCTCATTATCTGATCAAGGCCTTACAGAACATCCACTTTTAAGAAACACTGGTATGGTCAGATAATGAGGCAGTGCTACAGTGGGTGAGAAATAATAACAGTAAAAATCCTTACGTGAATAACCACGTTAAGGAAATACGAGAGTTATCAGCAGGGTACAAACTGAGATATGTACCCACCAAGGAGAATCCAGCTGACTATCTCTCCCGAGGCCTGACTTTACGGCAATTAACCAAAGCAGAGATGTGGTTCAATGGACCTCAGTGGCTAGTCAGTGACCAGTGGCCTGAACAAAAGCCACAAGTCATTGTGACCAATGTCACTGTTCCCACTGAGAATCCAGAACCACCTCGGACTTTGGTAATTGATCCTAATCGGTACTCTGAACTGAACAAACTACTAGGTGTCACCCAAGTGGTGTTTGATTTTCTAAAGAAAATAGGAATCAAGCATCAATTCCCTAGTGCCCTAAGGTACTGGATCAAAAGAGCCCAAACAGATACATTCGGGATAGAATTTGACAATGTCCCTAAGAAACTTCAAAATGATCTGGGTCTCTGGATAGACACAAACAATTATAACCTAATAAAATGCGGAGGCCGCTTACAGCATGCGGACATAGATCTGGAAGCAAAAAATCCAATATTGCTTCCTCGTCACCACATAATAAGCAAGCTAATTGTGTTACACATACACAAACACAACACTCTGCATGGTGGGGTATTAGATACCCTCACAGACTTAAGACAACAGTACTGGCTACCCCAAGGTCGGCAGACTGTAAAATCCATAATTAAATCCTGTGTAATTTGCCGGAGGTACGATGCCAGAGTGTGTCCTTATCCGGGACCTCCTCCACTTCCAAAGGAACGAGTTGTTCATATTCGTCCCTTTGAGACCACTGGAGTAGATTTCACAGGAGCACTAACACTGACAGGCACCAAGGACAAAATCCCAGTGAAGGCATACATCTGCCTATTCACCTGTGCCACAACAAGGGGAGTACATCTAGAAGTGACTCCTGATATGAGTGCCGAGGCATTCTTACAGGCTTTCCGCAGGTTTGCTTCACGTAGATCCTGTCCTAAGTTAATGATCTCAGACAATGGGTCCAACTTAGTGGCAGGAGAAGCATGTCTGAGGAAAATCTGGAACCACTCAAAGGTGCGCACTGCCCTAAATCAACGGCAGTGCCACTGGAAATTCATACCTCCCAGAGCACCATGGCACGGAGGCTTCTATGAACGCATGATTGGTACAGTGAAACGTTCTCTACGGAAAACCCTACACCGCCAAAAGATTGACCTGCAGGAGCTCCAAACCGTTGCCATAGAAATAGAAGCTCGAGTTAACAACCGACCACTTACCTACCTCTCTGATGATGTTTCGCAACGTGAACCATTAAGTCCAGCTCATCTGATGTATGGGGGACCTCTAAGAACTCTAGTGTCCCTTATGGATGAGGAACCAGAAGATCCTTCATATGTCCGAGAGAGTGACTTGGTTCAACGTTTCAAACATCTATCAGGAGTGATAAGTCGGTGGAATGACGTATGGACTCGAGAATACCTTACTGCTCTGAGGGAGTATCACTATGGGGCAAACAACCCCTACAACAGAATTAACTTGAACCCTGGTGACATAGTTCTGGTGGACAGCGATGGGCCACGCTCAGAGTGGCCTATAGGCCAAATAGTCTCTGTTCATCCAGACAGTCAGGGCATCTTGAGAATAGTGAAAGTAAAATGCCGAGGCAACACTACTCTCAAAACATTAGAGAAATTAGTTCCTTTAGAACTGGCAGGAAAAGAAGATGTTCAACGACTTCCAGCACCCGAAGAGCCAGTCAGGGACATCCGTTTTGAGCGGACTGCGGCACAGCAGTGCAAGCTCAAATTAAAGCAACTCTATAATTCTGAGGGCGAGGAATAAAGTGATCACAGTCCTTACCGGGACTTCGACCCCGTGTTCCCCCCTCCTTCCCTGGAATTATGTCGGAAATCCGACACACATAATAACATATAAGTTACCCATTAAAGAAAAAGAGAATGGGTATTCCATGACGTCATACAACAAGACATATATTATAACTCTTATCTCTTTTTAAACCTCAGTCTAGTATTTAAACTTAATAAAAAAGAGTTCACTAGGACTGAATATAATTTACAACACCAGGAATATAGCTTAACTCTCTATTCCTTAAGGTGGCTCCTTCCATACGAGCTGGTATAACTCAATAGACACCCAGATTAAGTGTCAGCAAGCGAGCAACAACCACAACAGCACCTCTACAACCACAGCAACACCAGTATCCGTCTTACCAAGTATTTCTGTGTATTGTGGCCATTTTATAACATAAAAAGGCTAGATGGTTATACGGTGGGATTAAAATCCCAAACCAAGTACGTACTCAATATTATACTTCCCTCTTATTCTTGTCATACCTATGCCTTAATATGTTGGTGTGCTTTTCCTAATGTTAAACATCCCAAACAGGTAATTGTGAGGGAAGTTACTGAAGCAGACAGTTGGCTCCCAACATAATTATAGAAATTTGCTACCTGCTGTTCATCAAGCCATGCAGGCCTCCAGATAGCCGCCCTTACATGGCACTCTGAGGCACAGGGCCACACCCCAATCTGATGCTACCATTAGAGCCTTAGCAGCCCACAACTACAGTATCAGATAAGGCCCTTCTATGTTTAATAGTGTGGATAGAGTAGTATACATAATTAAATTAACTATATCTATAATTACAGTAGATTAGACCACCATATGTGGTATGATTTATAATTTATATTAAAGACTAGGTAAACAATTTGTGGTTAATGAAGGATCCACCTCAAGGTGGTTTAAGCTACAAATTATCCCACTCAACTGAGTGATAAATTCTAGCAGCTGAATCAGAATATATAGTCCATTAACTAAGAGAGAACTAAGAACTAACTCAGAAGAAAAATAATATAATATAAAATAAAGTAAATATTTGAATAAAAATAGAATTAAAGACTCCATGGCTGGTGGTGACTCCATGGCTGGTGGTGATGCAATATCTGGTGATGACTCCATGGCTGGTGATGACTCCATGGCTGGTGATGACTCCATGGCTGGTGATGAGTCCATGGCTGGTGGTGATGTTATGGCTGGTGGTGACTCAATGGCTGGTGATGACTTCATGGCTAGTGATAACACCATGGCTTGTGATGACTCCATGGCTGGTGGTGATGTTATGGCTTGTGATGACTCCATGACTGGTGTTGACTCCATGGATCGTGGTGATGTTATTGCTGGTGGTGATGCCATGGCTGGTAATGATGTGATGGCTGGTTTTGAGACCATACCTGGTGGTGACACCATGGCTGGTGGGCACGATACCATGGCTGGTGGTGACGATACCATGGCTGGTGGTGACGATGCCAATGCTGATGGTGACGATTGCATGGCTGGTGGTGACGATACCATGGCTGGTGGTGACGCCATGGCTGGTGTTGACGATGCCATGGCTGATAATGACGCAATAGCTGGTGGTGACGCCATAGCTGGTGTTGACGATGCCATGGCTGGTAATGACGCAATAGCTGGTGGTGACGCCATGGCTGGTGGTGACAATGCCATGGCTCGTAATGACGCCATGCAAGGTGATGCCATCATGGATGTTGGCGACCCAATGGCTGGTGGTGACGCCATGGTTGGAGTGACGACATGGCTAGTGGTGACCCCATGGCTGGTGGTAACGAAACGGCTAATGGTGACGCCATGGCAGGTGGTGACAATGCGATGGCTCGTGGTGACACCACGGAAGGTGATGACACCATAGCTGATGACTCCATGGGTAGTGATGACACCATGGATAGTGCTGATGCCATGGGTAGTGATGACGCCATGGGTAGTGATGACGCCATAGATAGTGATGACACCATGGCAGGTGACAATGCAATGGCTGGTGGTGACGATGCCATAGCTGGTGGTGACAATGCCATGGCTGGTGGTGACGATGCCATGGCTGGTGGTGACGATGCCATGGCTGGTGGTGACGATGTCATGGCTGGTGGTGATGATGCCATGGCTAGTGGTGACAATGCCATGGCTAGTGGTGACAATGCCATGGCTGGTGTTGACGATGCCATGGCTGGTGTTGACGATGCCATGGCTCGTGTTGACGATGCCATGGCTGGTGGTGACGATGTCATGGCTGGTGGTGACGATGCCATGGCTGGTGGTGACGATGCCATGGCTGGTGTTGACAATACCATGGCTGGTGTTGACAATGCCATGGCTGGTGGTGATGATGCCATGGCTGGTGATGACGATGCCATGGCTGGTGTTGACGATGCCATGGCTGATGGTGATGATGCCGTGGCTAGTGGTGATGATGCAATAGCTGGTGGTGACAATGCTATGGATGGTGCTGACGCCATGGCTGGTGGTGATGTCATGGCTGGTGGTGACGCCATGGCTGGTGGTGATCCCATGGCTGGTAGTGACGCCATGGAAAGTGATGCCATCATGGACGTTGGCGACACAATGGCTGGTGGTGACGCCATGGTTGGAGTGACGACATGGCTAGTGGTGACCCCATGGCTGGTGGTAACGAAACGGCTAATGGTGACGCCATGGCTGGTGGTGACAATGTTATGGCTCGTGGTGTCACCATGGAAGGTGATGACACCATAGCTGGTGATGACTCCATGGGTAGTGATGATACCATGGATAGTGTTGATGCCATGGGTAGTGATGACGCCATGGGTAGTGATGACGCCATGGATAGTGATGACACCATGGCAGGTGACTGCAATGGCTGGTGGTGACGATGCCATAGCTGGTGGTGACGATGCCAAAGCTGGTGTTGACGATGCCATGGCTGGTGGTGACGATGCCATGGCTGGTGGTGACGATGTCATGGCTGGTTGTGATGAGGCCATGGCTGGTGGTGACGATGCCATGGCTGGTGTTGACGATGCCATGGCTGGTGTTGACGATGCCATGGCTGATGGTGATGATGCCATGGCTAGTGGTGATGATGCAATAGCTGGTGGTGACAATGCTATGGATGGTGCTGACGCCATGGCTGGTGGTGATGCCATGGCTGGTGGTGATCCCATGGCTGGTAGTGACGCCATGGAAGGTGATGCCATCATGGATGTTGGCGACACAATGGCTGGTGGTGATACCATGGATGGTGATGACGCCATGGCTGGTGGTGACGCCACGGATGGTGGTGACACAATGGCTGATGGTGATGATGCCTTGGGTGGTTGTGACGCAATGGCTGGTGATGACGCCATGGCTGGTGGTGACGATTCCATAGCTGGTGGTGATTCCATAGCTCGAAGTCGAAGATATTTAGTTTATTTGATTTGAGATATCTAACATAATATGATAGCCTCATAAAAGTCAAATGAGAATAATTTCTTGGTTAATCAACATATAATCTTTTTACCATTAATCAATTTATCTAATGTTTCTTAATATGGTATTTAGTAGAAATTACTAATTTTATTCGAGGAAGAACCAGCCTCGATGAATGTACTGGGAGTAGATTACTTCTGGTATTAACCCCCCTTTTGTGAAGGACGGAAAGTTTATTCTCGAACATTAAAATATTATACAACCCATTGAAGTTTAAAGAATAATCTTTAATAGTTTCTTATCCATAGGCACTGGTGTTTCAGTCCTTATCATTTAATTTTATCTGTTTCCCTTTTCAGTCAAAATAGGGTGGTCCTTTAGTTAATTTAAATTAATCTATTAATTAATTATCAATCAATTAACAGAGAGTAAGCTTTCTTCCCAACACAAAAATATGGTCTTTCGAACCGGATGTATTACAATTAATACCATAATCAAAACTAATTACTGTGTGTAGTAATCTAGGCTAACCACATTTTATAACTGTGGCTGCCAGAAGTGTACCACATAGGTCAACCTAGTATACACCAATTTATTTGCTGCATATACCTCATGTATAAAGTAGCACTAGTGGGACACAGTCAATTACCCACAAACCTCAGACCTATACCTCACACTGAGGTAAGAATCTTCAGGTCACCAGGAGCAACAGCTCATAATTTCTATAATAACTCCACATTAACACCTGCGTTACAGTGGCCTCACCATCTAACTATTATTTATTTAGGTGGTAATGACATCCATCCTACTCGACACCCAGCTGAGGTAATTAATCACCTAAAAACAATAATTTCCTCATTTAAACTTGTTATCAGTTCAGTAGTATTCACATTGGTGGAACCTCGCCAACTAAGCAATAATAATCGTTGGGGAGTGAGTTCAGAATATTACCAAAGAGCTGCCAAATATATAAACTTTCGGCTGAGGAAGAGAGTATGATTGGATGCCACTTACATTCAATTTACAGCCAGACCATACAGGCAAAACCTGGCAAGAGATTGTGTACACCTGTCAGGTGAGTCTAGATCACATGTAGTTGACAAATTGGTCAACACAATCAACCACCATAAAAGGCTGTGGCTGGCAAGCCTAAATTAATTGTAAATATTTGTATTTTCACCTGTGTGTGCAAGTGCACATTTATATAAACTATAAAATCTAAAAACCCAAAAAACACAGCACAACTATATATTCACATTATTGCACCATAAATTAATTTATGCCAACCTTTATTAGGTAGGAATTTACACTGTGATTGTGCTGAGTTTTGCATATACAGACAAAATAATTTAGTAGTTTCTTAGGTAGAAATTCTTACTAGTCCTGGACTAGTCAGTAGTGCATACATTATTCATTCTTGTGCTGACCCTACCAAGGGTGGGATTCAAACTTTATAGTAACTCTGATTAGAGTATATACACATTAATTATTTTGTATATCAATTATTTGTGTGTATGAATTTTGAGTGCTGCTGAATGATCACTATTACATCTAATGGTGATAAAGAAGAGCTAGCCGGAAGAAAGTTAATGGTGACATTCAAGCACTGCTCAAAATCCTTAGCTACTTATTGTTAGGTAGGTGCATTTAACCTAGAGTGAGGTAGAGTGTAAATTAGCCAGATTAATTTAGGCTATATTCAATTTACTTGTCAACTAATGAGGAAGTACCCCAGCTTCATTGGTAATACTTATTCAAGTCCTATGAAACTTGGACTTAAAGCCAACATGGCTACTCCTGAACAATTAAGGAGAACCTATATTGGCCTTAAAGGTCATTTAACCAGACTAATTAATAAGTCTGATACTTTGTCTAAAGCAACTCCCATTGATTACTAGAAACTAGAACAGCTAGAAACATCATTGAGGGTAGCTGATTTCAAATTTGATCAAGCCAGTCTTATCTCAACCTACTGAATGCAACTGAAACTGATCCTGATGAAATAGATCAAATTCTAGCAGATATTTCTCAGTATGAAGATGAGACTCAAGATAAACTTGATGTACTATCCAATATAGTAAAACAACATAAATACAATGCAAATAATACTATGTCTCAATCCAGTAATCAATTACCTGAGGTTTGTCTACCAACTTTATACTTCCCTACATTTGCAGGGCTGGATGAAGAAAATTGGGACACATTTTGGTCTTCATTTGAAGTTCATATACATAAAAAATCTTCTCTTGACAGAGTTTCTAAATTCTCTTACCTGATTAGTCTTCTCAAAGGGGAGACTAAAAAGGTCATAAATAACCTAGCTCTCACTGAGAGTAATTATGAGGAAGCTATAAAACTACTGAAGTTGAACTATTGCAACAAGGAGTTGAGTATAGCTAACCTGTATTACCAGTTGCTGGATCTGAATGCACCAAGTAACCGACCAGACTCACTTCAAAGCTTCAGGCTAGAAGTAGAATCTCTAGTTAAGGCCTTAGTTACTAAAGTTGATGTACCAGCCTCAGAATGGTCAATTAAGTTACTTTTACAGGGGAAATTACCTCGAAATAGCTTAGCAGAAATCTGCTCACACTATAAAACCGAGTTTCTCACTCTCGAGCAAATATTCGAGGGACTGAGAATAACGGTTAACAGTTTGAAGACTCGTGATAAGATTAAACCAGAGTCTAAACAGCCTAACCTAGACAACTCTGACAAACCCAAATCGACTTTGAATCAGTAAAATAAATCCAAACCTAGGACTACTCCATCCACTGGAAAAAGGAGTGGTAGTGTAGGTATTTATTCTGTATCTCCCTCTGACGCTACAACTGATGTGTCTACTAAAAGGACGAACTCAGCCAGAGAGAGAAGGTGTCTGTTCTGTGATCAAGAACGTGTCACCTACAAATGCAATGTTTATCCGAACTTTAATACCAGGATTAAACGGCTACAAGAATTATACAGATGCACTAAGTGCATGGGTTCTCATGATCACAGTAAATGTGTAGTGCAGCTACGGTTGTGCAGTAGATGCAACAAAGGTGTACATCATTATGCCTTATGTAGAAAAACTTCTACACCATCTGTGACACCTAGGGAGGATTCTATGAATTCTACCACAGTACAATATTGCAAGGTACACCAAGAAATAAATGTACTTCCTACTGAGTCAGGCAATAATACTACTCTGCCTACAGCTCAACTCAAACTACAGTAATTGATAGGAAGTCTAGAGTTAACACTAGAGGTCTCTTTGATCAAGGATTACAGAAAACCTTCATCACACAACAATTAGTCGAGCAGTTGAAATTAAAACCTGCCAAAAGTGTGAGACTGAATATTTCTGGGTTCTTGACTAATAGTGGACCTCAGGAATACCAAGTAGTCAAGGTATTTGTGAGACTTGGATCTTCCACTAATCCAATACAAGTGGTAGTAGTATATAAACTTCCTTCAGACCTGCAGGTCACAGGACTAGCTCACACTGCAAGATATGTCAAACGTAACCGCATGATGCTAGCAGATCACAAAATAAATTCTGACTGCCTCACAGATGTTGGTATCCTAATAGGCGCTGACTATTATTATAAATTTATAACAGGATGCACCAGACAACATGGAATGAATTTGTTGTCATCTGCTGGAGGCAAATTGCTCACTGGACCGGTGCTTTTCCAACAAAAAATAGCGTCAACCAACAAACAAACTAGCAATTCAATAGTGGCGTGACTAGGCATGGAACAGTCACCCTACATTTCAGAGAAATATCTGAAGATAATGAGTCTGATCCAACTGTACATCGTCTGTGGGATTTAGACACCTTAGGTATTGTCCCTGATAAACCAAGCCCTAATGATTCGTGGACTTACCAGCAATATCTGGACACAGTTGTCTATAAAGACAAACAATACTGGGTGAGACTGCCATGGAGGTTGAATCATCCACAACTTCCAGTTAATTATTTCATGGCAGCCTCTCAATTAATACGGCTGAAGAAACAGCCAGATAAATTGAACATGTATCATCAATTAATTCAACAACAACTCAACAGTAAATTTATCGAAGTTGTTGATAATGATGACCGAAAAATAGGTCACTATTTACCCCATCATGCTGTGGTGAAAGATTCATTGACAGCACCAATACGTATTGTCTTCAACTGTAGTGCCAAAGAGAAGACACACAGCGTGTCCTTGAATGAATGTCTCCAAACGGGACCTAGCCTGACACAAAGGCTACATGATGTATTATTACGATTCCGCACTGGTATTTTCGCTTATACTGCTGATATCAGTAAAGTTTTTCTAAGAGTAGGCTTGCAAGAGGAGGATCGAATTACACCAAATTTCTCTGGATTAATAAGGACCCACTGGATCCGGACAGTGATGTCATACCCTACTGGTTTGCCTCTGTGCTATTCGGTGCAACTTCTTCACCATTTCTACTTCAAGCCACATTAGATACACATTTGAAGAAGTCAAATAGCCCTTATAAAACGGAGATCAGTGACAACCTGTATGTCAATACTTTTTAGGGAACTACTAATGACAAATCCCAATTGGTAGAAATCTACCATGAGGCTAACCGTGAGTTGTTAGGAGCCAATATGCCGCTATAATGATGGGCCTCAAACAATAAATCATTAAAGCAGATAATTGCGAAAGAATTTCCAGGTTATCAGGTGCCTAATCAATTAAAAATTCTGGGCGTGGAATGGAACACAGTTACTGATGAGATGAATGTCAAGTCAGTACAAACCAATAATTCAACCCTTACCATGAGAAAATTATTCTCGTATGTCAGTCAACCATTTGACCCTTTAGGCTTCCCTAGTCCTATAATAATAAGGGCCAAACTCCTCATGCAGGAATGCTGGCAGAAACATATGGGATGGGATGATCCGTTGCCAATTGAGTTGCAAGATAAATGGCAAATACTCGCAACGGATTTCAATCAATTAGGTGTTTTGAAATTTCCTTGAATGCTTCAGGACAAAACTTACCCACAAA